AAGCCTATTACATCAGAGTCATCATAATGGTAACCCTACTTAAATGACTAGAGATCCCAAGAACTAAGTTCACAACTAAGTTATGTATGGCTCGCCCGAAATCACTAAAGGAGTCTATCTCCTATCCATTCATATGATGAGAGTGATATCTGCAATATTTGTTGTATGTAGGGGACTTAGGATAAGCTATGCTTTTAATGATCACTTATATCTTGAAAACCCTAGAGGGGTATCTTTCAAGAGGAGTGTTTAAGACACTCGGAATAAGGATCACCTATATGAGTGTCAAGGGGCTGCTTCTATGAGAATTGATAAGGCATAATTCTCTAAAGCACTCATGAAATACCAGGAGATGCCCACGGCCAAAACGGGCACAACCGTGAGAACTAAACTGTGTCTGGAGATATTCTGTGTGAATTCTATTGTCTTGGCTTACACAAATGGTTGAACAGTTCAAGGCATCACGTCCACTGATTAGCTAGTAAGTCCAATAGGCTTTCACCAGGGAAGGTTCAAAGCCAAAAGCTACCTATCCCAATGCAGGGTATTTCCTTAATGTACTCTCTCTTTGTCTGCATATTGTTCATGTCCTTTCCGTAAATTTCATTCACGTGGGAGATTATTGGAAAATTTGAATTAAATTTACTCCAATGGTTGTGTCTCTTGAAACGGAAGGATGTGTCCTTTTGAAGAGTCACAACCTTTCTGAAGAGTCGTGGAGGAATCTATAAATTCCATTTCCCTCATTTCAATTTAGAGATAGAGAATTGCAATTTCCTTCTTCACGTTGCATTTATTCTTCATATTTTCAGAGTCTAATTTTTCTATAAAGAGAGTGCATGCACAGCAAAGTTCGCTAGGCTTGCAATAGTAGTGCTGCTAGTGCGAGATATTGATCGTTGTATCCTGGGAGATAGACGTCCATCGAATCCTAAGCACCGGTGGGAGGACGAATCTTTCTTAAGGAATTTTTAAATCAAAAAATAATAATAAAAAATAATAATTTGCTACGTTATTTTGTCAATTTATTTCAGTTTTGATTTTGCCCAAAAACCATTTACATAATTTTAAATTATATTTTCCAGATAGTTTGGTATTATTTTTCTAACACTCTTAGCATTTGTAATGAAAAATATGCATATAAGTGGCATGTGTCATATTTTTTAGAGTAAAATTATAAATTTACTAACATCAGTGAGTTAACCTCAATCAATTCAATGATTATTTTTAATCAAAAACACTAATGGTATTATCAATTGGGCCAAATTGACACAAAAGTTAAAATTAACAATCAAAATTGTATTAGTTAAAAGTGCAGGAACCAAAACGACATAAGAGACAAAATATAAAAATCACCAATATAATTTGCCCCATTTTAATGTTATGTCCAATAAGAGGTGCCCTGAGATTTCTGAATTCCTTGTACTCCTTGTACAACTTCATCCAACTGTAAGTAGAACGCAATTTTTGTGGAGTCAATCTAATAAAAAACCATAATAATAAGGTATAAAATTTTTTTTTTTTTTGGAGAACATATAATTTTACCCTCGAAAGTATAACAAGTTGATCTTGATTTCTTTGATACTTTTTCTCCGGTTACTAGAGTTACATCCATTAGACTGTAGATAGCAGTGGCTGTAATTCATGATTTAAAAATTCATCAAATGGATGTGAAAATAACATTTTTAAATAGAGATTTAGATGAGGAGATTTACATAGACCAACCTGAAGGCTTTGTGGAGCCTGGCCAAGAAAGCAAGGTGTGTAAGCTAACTAAATCTCTTTATGGTTTAAAACAAGTTTCTAAACAATAACATGAGAAATTTGATTTATATATGCTTGAGAATGACTATAAGACTAATGAATGTGATAAGTGCATATATTATAAAACTTGTGAGAATGCACATGTGATTATTAACCTATATGTAGATGATCTACTTATCTTTGGCTCTAATTTGTATATTATAAATGAGACTAAAAATATGCTTAATAGCCACTTTGATATGACAGATCTTGGTAAAGCCAATTTTATTTTGGGAATTAAAATTACCAAGACTAAGGATGGCATTTTTCTTGATTAGTCGCATTATGTTGAGAAAATTTTAAAGAAATATAACTTTCTAGACTATAAACATGTTGGTACTCCTTTTGATGCAAGCATACATTTATCTGTTGTAACAAATGAAAAAGAAGTGATTAATCAAAATGAATATGCTAGCATGATTGGTAGTTTGAGATATGTTACTGACTATGTTGGAACAATCTTCTGTGTAAAATGAAAATAGTGAATGAAACCAAACTTAAGTTTTAAACTCTTATTCTTTATTTGATTTATTAGAATGGAGTAAATTTAAATGGTCATTCTGTTGGAACAATCTTCTGTGTAAATAAATAAATTGAAATAAATCAAACAAAATAAATAAATAACATACCGGATTTATTTTGTCGAACCAAATAAAATTTACAAGACCAAGTCGAGTGTGTGACACTCTGTTAAGACAGATTTGCCCTGCTACGGTACTTACGGTTGTGTGGTGTCTATCTCCCAGGATACAATGATCTTCACAAATTGTAGTAGTACTCCAAACAATTTGTTCGGCGAACCAAACTTGTGTTTTAACTCTCTGAATTTTATTCTAAATCTAATATGAAGAATAATGCATAAGTGCAGAATTTTGGACAGAATTTTCAGACTGATATTTCATCATACGAATTGCTGGAAAATGGTTGTATATATAGCCAAAAAATTAGACCCGAACAAGTGAGGAAGCCGAACAGGTGCTAATTGAAAATTTGAATCTGACCGTTGCAGAACAAAACTTCAAACCGTTGGACAAAACTTATTAAACCATTTAAATAGTTTAATAAAAACCAACCGTTTCAGTGGAGTAGTTTTCTACCAACTGTTGGGAAATATATTATTAAACTATTTGGTAAATATATATATTATACAATTAGAATATATATATATATATATTTATTTGAATAGTTTAATAAATAAAAGAAGAGGTACAAACTTTAGGAAACCACTTAGGAATCCAAAACTTGAATTTAGAATTAAATTAAATTCCCACAATAATTTTTTATTGAAAAAATTCAAATGAATTTTATCTAATAAAAATTAATGTTAGACCCGAAAACGACGTCAACTCCCATTCACTCATAAATGGTTTTGACGTTCCGTCTTCACCTCTTCGGACCCACCCCAAACAACGTTTGGGGCCCACTCAAAATTAGCCTCCAAGTTGGCCCAAAATAAGCCATATAAAAAATCATTTTTCCAACATAAAATTGATTCAAAATCAAATAATTTAAGTATAAAATTGATATTATTAAAAGAACCTAAATTGAATTGATTTTCAAATAATAGTTTAAGGAGGAAATTGATATTTTATTTATTTATTTATTTTTAACTCGTTGAAAAAAATTTAATTTTGCCATTCACTTTTATTTGTACCTCAAAGAGAGTGAAGGCATTCATGTGTTAATGCACAAGAGTGCTATGACTTGTGACAAAACCCTTACACAATAATACGTATCGGATGTCTAAGTATATGAATGATAAATAATCACTCACATCTCTATTTTCTGATGAAATGAGACTATCAAAGTTTCTATATTTATCCTCTATATAAATAATTTTAAAAGTATTTATAAGGGGACTTTCAAAATTATTGACAAGTATCACTTTAATCTCGCTAAACAATAAAGGTGGACGAATAAGCTTTTTATATTATTGAGAAGTATCATTTTACCTCTTAAATTAAAAAAGTGTATAAATGAACCCTCTAAACTATTTGCGTGTTTTACTTTGACCCATTTCATTAGGCGATTCAATTTGTACGCTTTTATATTTAAGATTCCATTTGTACGCTTTTATAATTGAAGAAATAAAGTGATATTTCTTAATAATTTAGAGGGTCTAATTGTACGCTTTTATATTTTAAGAAATTAAAGTAATAATTTTCAATAATTTATGAAATCTAGATTACGAGTCATGCCGTCATGGACACTCAACCTTGAGTGTGTAATCTGACCCAATTTCCTATAAATTACAACCGAAAGTGGTATAAAAACTAAATAAATTGGATTAATTAATCAACAATGATTGAGACCTCCTCTTTTGGGAGACCCCACAACTCCTTTTGATTTTCAACCATTAATGGTGTGGGTCTCACACATACATGAGTGGGTCCTATATATGCATCAATAGTTGAGATTTAAAAAGAGTTATAGGGACCTCCAAAAAAATGAGATCCCAAACATTTTTCTTAATATTAGGGGTTGTTTGGAGTGTTCTAAATAAGTGCAATTTTTGTCTTTTTGGACTAAAAAATTGAGGGAAAAAATATGGATGTTTGGGTTAACTTTTTGACGTATTAAAAAATTATAGAAATTAGTGTGTAGAAGAATATTAGGAAAAATTAAGATTGGGAGTTGTGCAGCCGTAATTTTTGACTTTTGATGAATAGTTATAACTTTTTAACTTTTTTAATAACTTTTTTGCAAGTTGCCAAACTTGACCTTAATACAAATTCAAAATATCATGACAAAACACATACTCCGATAATACTCACATTTTCAAAGACAACAAAGATTGTTGGTAAATTTTACGTTTGGTGTCACGTACATAACATGAGGTAGAGCAGCTTTCTGGCCTGGGCTATAAGGTCAACAACATACACAACCAACAGCAAAAGCAACTGGCTCTTTGTAATGAATACCTTGGTTAGTTTAACCCCACTTACCTCATTTGTGTTAGAGTTAATTACAATTTAACCTTCTCCATTGTTATTAAATCACTTTACTTATTTTAATTTTAATATCATACATTTAGATCATTTAATTATCAAATATATATATATATATATATACCAATTAAACCTTTCTATTACATGATAGTATATAGTAAATGGAATGGAATGAAATTGACAAAAGGTAAACTTTAGTATGATGTAGATAAACAAGGATACTTTGATCCATTTCATACAATTGCTCGCCTCTTGGAGATAGTACACATCGATAACATGAAGATCTTGAAAGCTTTGACATGTGCCAAGGAAGATCAGTTGCCACTCATTGATGGTTATACTAAGAAAAGGGTTCGTTCATATGTATATATCTCATTTATGCATTACTAGTTTACATCAAATTTCACTGTAATTTCTCATTTTTTAATTTTAATAGTCAACCCTTTTCACCTTCGTTCGAATTGCAACATAACCCTTCCCTTAATTTGGTGTTTAACATTATGATGATGGAAGTTGTAATTTAACCATAATCTATCATCTCTGACTTCTTGAAAAGCTTCCATTGATTAATCTTTTTTTCGTATGACAAATGCAGGTTCACATAGATGTGTTAAGGAGGCAGAACCTGTTGCTACTCATTTCAAACGTAGACCTCTCCTGTGAAGAACATTTCTTTCTCCGTCAGTTGTATATAGAGGCACAACAACACCCAAAGGAGAATCAATATGAGGTTGTGTGGATCCCTGTCATGAAGGAAACAAACAATCCCATGGGACGAGGTGCATCAAAACAAGTTTAAGCACATACAAGCTTCAATGCTATGATTCTCTATGTACCAACCTTCACTACTTGATCCAGGAGTCATCAAGTACATCAATGAGGTCTGGAACTTCAACAATCGTGTCGATAGATCCACAAGGCACAGTTGTGAATCATAATGCAATCTATATGTGTTGGATTTGCGGGAATCGTGCATTCCCATTTTCTAGCATGAGGGAGGAAGCACTCTGGGAGAAGATGCCTTGGACGATTGAGTCGTTAGCAGGATACATCGGTCATTGATTGGATAATAGGACCTTCTTCTTTTTTAATTGCCGCTCAATGCTCACTACAACATATAAAAATTTTAAAAGAAAAATCCAAAGAATAAATAAATTTCAAATTTTTAATTTTGTTAACTTAAACCGTAATCTTTTAATTTAAACCACAATCTAAACTATTTGTCTATTTTCATTAAGTAAAACCGATAAAATAATAACATTTTAGTCATTAAGCTCAATGCAAGTATACATAAAATGTCTAAGATATCATTTTTTTTGTTGTGTTTGATTACTAAAATACTTATTTTTGGATCAATTTTACTTAATGAAAATAGCTAAATGGTTTATATTAAAAGCATATCAAAGTTTATGGTTTAAATTGATAGAATTAAAAGTTCATGATTTATTTTGTTATTAAAATCAAACTGTGGGTTTTTTTTTTTTTTTTTTGTAATTTCCTTGAATTTTAATGTGAAGATTTTGTTGCCAAAAAATATTATAAGAGACCAATTTTTATAATCATGACAATCGTCACTAAAAGTCTACTCTTAAAAATTAAAAAAATATAACCTTTTAACGGCAACATTTAAAAATATCATTAATAAATATAGATATATAGTTTACGTTTATACTTATCTAAATATAAAAATGTGATTTTTTATTGATTACTTCAGATGGCTTCTGAAAAGTACATTTGCTTGTATGGAGGAGAGGACCTAGATTGGATCAGGAGCTTTACCAACACAGCAAAAGTTGTTGCAAAAGCCACCCAGATCCCATTAGAGTTGTTGTATGTAGGAAAAAGCAACCCACGGAGAAAGGTAGTGAAAATCAACAATGTCATTATGGTGGAAAAACTCAACCACACAATGCCAGATCTAATTCTGATATGGCACTTCTGGGATAGGTGTGAGAGCATGTGGCACTCCAAGAAGCAACACGGCCAGTCTGTAGGGAACGATCCCATAATGAAAGAAATAAAGTCAATATTGAGCTTTGATAAAAGTGATCAAGGATGGGCTATGATCAGTCGAGGAGGCACCATTGAGATGGCTAAAGCCAAGGGTAACACCATTTTGAAAAGCTTAAACCAATTTAAGAAATAGAAAGATAGTGTAAAAGAGGTTGATTTTTTGACTTCATTCAATGAAAATCTTAATGAGCTTGGTTCGCTAGATCACTGCAACTCTTTGATCATTCCCTACGCTGAAAGAAGCAGCAGCATTTCTGAGATGCGTACTTGTGATGAATGTGGCCCGCCTATGGAGAAGTTTATCGTGTTTAGTTGAATTATTAGCAACTAATAAGTTATTAAGCAAGCTCATAAGTTGGGGTTTATAATGTTGTTTGTTTTTAGGTTCTATTTGTTGCTATTGATCTATAGTGTCACATGCAAAAGTGGTGTTCAAGCTAGCTTTATTGGGAGAATTCCAAACATTAGTTATGAGCTCCACATTTCAGTGAGCATGAATTGCCTTATTCACACAAACTAATTGAGATCATCTATAGAACTAATGAAATTAAACAAAAACAATTCACTCCCAGGTACAATTTGCAGATTTTTTGTCCCTTTTGTGCCACCAATACAAGGCATTGAGATTTAGAAGATTTTGGGCTCAAAGAAGCAAAATAGTATTGGGCCATATAGGGCTCAATTTCAAGGACATTTGAAGCAATTTTGAAACTTTTTTGGGTTGTGTAGTTTTTGTTTTTATTTCTTTCAAGTAGCCCAATAGATATGTTCACGTCTGGCAACATAGGGCGTGATTGACCAGGCTCCAAGTAAGGTCTAGTTTTGGAAGACTAAATAAGTGTATTTTTTGACTTTTTATGAAAAATGAGTTGAGTTTGGATTAGGTTTGAAGTGATGTGTTAGAGATGTGATGTGACTTAAATAAGATGATGGGACTTAAATAGGATAGTGACTTTTTGACTTTTTGTCTTTTTTCCATCATGCCAAACTTGGCCTAACATGGCTTTAAAGGCCTGACTACGGTGATATCTAGGTTAGACCCCAAGGTCGGTTTGTTTTTTGATATCTAAGTTAGACCTTAAGCTCGGTTTGTTTTTAAATGTTGAATGGAAGAGATTTATGGCAAAATTAATAGTAAGAGGATTATTAGTGAAATAATTGATAATGAAAGAATTAAGTAAAATTGTATTTGTTTTGATGATAATTGTTAGTGTAGGTATTATTAAATTATTTTTATATAAAATAAAAAATATATATATAAGCATTAAACATTAATGTTCAAAAAAAATGTCCAATATGTAAAAATAAAAATAAAACAATAATTTTTACTTAACAAAAAATATAAAAAAATTAAACATTAATATTCAAAAAAAAATGTCCAACGTGTAAAAAATAAAAATAATAAATAACACTAATAATAAAAAATAATCCGACGGACTATTTTTTTCAATACCACCTTCACCTCCTTTTTTTCAATACCACCTTCACCTCCTCTATCCCAATTCCCCTTCCAAAGCCTGACCTAATCCGGACCTCCATTTCAATCCCTTTTCTATCTCTCAAAACAAACACAATATTAGTGAGTCTCACCTCCACCTCCATCTCAAACTCAATCCCCCATCCATCTCTTGAAACAAAAGGGACCTAAAGAGCATTCACAATGAGATAGCTACAAGGCCTCGTTTGTTTTCAGAGGTAAAATAGAGAGGATTCATAGTGAGGGGATTAAGTAAAATTCTATTTATTTTGATGATAGTTGTTAATGTAGAGATTGTTTAATTATTTTTATATAAAATAATAAAACAAATAAAAAAAATACAAAAACATTAAACATTAATGTTAAAAAAAAAAACACCCAACATGTAAAAACAATTAAAAAATAAATTACAAAAAATTAAAAATTTCCAAATAAAATAAAACAAATAAAACAATGATTTTTACTTAACAAAAATACAAAAATTAAACATTAATGTTCAAAAAAATGTCCAACATGTAAAAAATAAATAAATAAAATAAAAAATTTCTAGTCCTTGAGACTATTTTTCTAATACCATCTCCACATCCTCCATCCCAATCCCCCTTCCAAAGCTTATCCTAATACCAAAGATTAAAAGTTCCTTCCTCATCTCTCAAAACAAATATCTCATATAGTGAGTTTCACCTTACTATCAATCCCAATCTCCTCCCTATAACACCAAACAAACGAGGTCCAAAGGTGTGTTAAAGTGTGTTATATAACAAAAAATGATAAAAATGGGACCAAAAAATTTGTGTTAAGAGTTTGTTAATTTTAAGAAGTGAAAGGTGGTACAATGAATGACTTAAGATATGTATTAAGCCGTGTGTTAAAAATATGTATATATATATATATATATATATAAACAATAAATAAAATAAATAATAATTGAGTCAATGCTTTCTCTTTCTCTTCTCTTTTTTTTTTTTTCTTCTCTCCCTCCCCTCTTTACTTGTTATATAATTTAGAAATTTTAGTGCCACGTCAGCAACTTCTGTTTGATTACAAATAGCAGCTAATGGCAGGGATAAATTGATTCAAAATCAAATAATTTAAGTATAAAATCGATATTATTAAAAGAACCTAAATTGAATTGATTTTTGAATAATAATTTAAGAAGGAAAATGATTTTTTATTTATTTATTTATTCTTTTAACTCGTTGAAAATTTTTTAATTTTGCCATTCACTTTTGTTTGTACCTCAAAGAGAGTGAAGGCATTCATGTGTTAATGCACGAGAGTGCTATGACTTGTGACAAAACCCTTACACAATAATACGTATCGGATATCTAAGTATATGAATGATAAATAATCACTCACATCTCTATTTTCTGATGAAATGAGACTATCAAAGTTTCTATATTTATCCTCTATATAAATAATTTTAAAAGTATTTATAAGGAGACTCTCAAAATTATTGAGAAGTATCACTTTAATTTCGCTAAACAATAAAGGTGTATGAATAAACTTTGAAGTATCATTTTACTTCTTAAACTATAAAAGTGTATAAATAAACTCCCTAAACTATTGACGTGCTTTACTTTGACCCATTTCATTAGGCGATTCAATTTGTACGCTTTTATATTTAAGATTCCATTTGTACGCTTTTATAATTGAAGAGATAAAGTGATATTTCTTCATAATTTAGAGGGTCTAATTGTACGCTTTTATATTTTAAGAAATTAAAGTAATAATTTTCAATAATTTATGAAATCTAGATTACGAGTCATGCCGTCATGGACACTCAACCTTGAGTGTGTAATCTGACCCAATTTCCTATAAATTACAACCGAAAGTGGTATAAAAACTAAATAAATTGGATTAATTAATCAACAATGAATGAGACCTCCTCTTTTGGGAGACCCCCACAACCCCCTTTGATTTTCAACCATTAATGGTGTGGGCCTCACACATACATGAGTGGGTCCTATATATGCATCAATAGTTGAGATATAAAGAGAGTTATAGGGGCCTCCAAAAAAAGGAGATCCCAAACATTTTTCTTAATATTAATATGAATTCAAAATAACATGACAAAACACAGACTCCCATAATACTCACATTTTCAAAGACCACAAAGATTGTTGGTAAATTTTACGTTTGGTGTCAGGTACATAACATTAGAGGTAGAGCAGCTTTCTAGCCTGGGCTATAAGGTCAACAACATACATAACCAACTGCAAAAGCAACTGGCACCTTGTTATGAATACCTTGGTTAGTTTAACCCCATTTACCTCATTTGTATTAGAGTAAATTACAATTTAACCTTCTCCATTGTTATTAAATCACTTATTTTAATTTTAATATCGTACATTTAGACCATTTAATTATTAAAAAAAATACCAATTAAAGCTTTCTATTACATGATAGTATATAGTAAATGGAATGGAATGGAATTGACATAAAGTAAACTTTGATATGATGTAGATAAAGAAGGATACTTTGATTCATTTCATACAATTGCTCGCCTCTTGGAGATAGTACACATCGATAACATGAAGATCTTGAAAGCTTTGACATGTGCCAAGGAAGATCAGTTGCCACTCATTGATGGTTATACTAAGAAAAGGGTTCGTTCATATGTATATATCTCATTTATGCATTACTAGTTTACATCAAATTTCACTGTAATTTCTCATTTTTTAATTTTAATAGTCAACCCTTTTCACCTTCGTTCGAATTGCAACATAACCCTTCCCTTAATTTGGTGTTTAACATTATGATGATAGAAGTTGTAATTTAACCATAATCTATCATCTCTGACTTCTTGAAAAGCTTCCATTGATTAATCTTTTTTTCGTATGACAAATGCAGGTTCACATAGATGTGTTGAGAAGGAAGAATGTGTTGCTACTCATTTCAAACGTAGACCTCTCCTATGAAGAACATTTCTTTCTCCATCAGTTGTATATAGAGGCACAACAACACCCAAAGGAGAATCAATATGAGGTTGTGTGGATCCCTGTCATGAAGGAAACAAACAATCCCATGGGACGAGGTGCATCAAAACAAGTTTAAGCACATACAAGCTTCAATGCTATGATTCTCTATGTACCAACCTTCACTACTTGATCCAGGAGTCATCAAGTGCATCAATGAGGTCTGGAACTTCAACAATCGTGTCGATAGATCCACAAGGCACAGTTGTGAATCATAATGCAATCTATATGTGTTGGATTTGCGGGAATCGTGCATTCCCATTTTCTGGCATGAAGGAGGAAGCACTCTGGGAGAAGATGCCTTGGACGATTGAGTCGTTAGCAGGATACATCAATCATTGATTGGATAATAGGACCTTCTTTTTTAATTGCCGCTCAATGCTCACTACAACATATAAAAATTTTAAAAGAAAAATCCAAAGAATAAATAAATTTCAAATTTTTGATTTTGTTAACTTAAACCGTAATCTTTTGATTTAAACCACAATCTAAACTCTTTGTCTATTTTCATTAAGTAAAACTGATAAAATAATAACATTTTAGTCATTAAGCTCAATGCAAGTATACATAAAATATCTAAGATATCATTTTTTTTGTTGTGTTTGATTACTTAAATACTTATTTTTGGATCAATTTTACTTAATGAAAATAGCTAAATGGTTTATATTAAAAGCATATCAAAGTTTATGGTTTAAATTGATAGAATTAAAAGTTCATGATTTATTTTGTTATTAAAATCAAACTGTGGGTTTTTTTTTTTTTTTTTTGTAATTTCCTTGAATTTTAATGTGAAGATTTTGTTGCCAAAAAATATTATAAGAGACCAATTTTTATAATCATGACAATCGTCACTAAAAGTCTACTCTTAAAAATTAAAAAAAATACAACCTTTTAACGGCAACATTTTAAAAATATCATTAATAAATATAGATATATAGTTTACGTTTATCCTTATCTAAATATAAAAATGTGATTTTTTATTGATTACTTCAGATGGCTTCTGAAAAGTACATTTGCTTGTATGGAGGAGAGGACCTAGATTGGATCAGGAGCTTTACCAACACAGTAAAAGTTGTTGCAAAAGCCACCCATTTCCCATTAGAGTTGTTGTATGTAGGAAAAAGCAACCCATGGAGAAAGGTAGTGAAAATCAACAATGTCATTATGGTGGAAAAACTCAGCCACACAATGCCAGATCTAATTCTGATATGGCACTTCTGGGATAGGTGTGAGAGCATGTGGCACTCCAAGAAGCAACACGGCCAGTCTGTAGGGAACGATCCCATAATGAAAGAAATAAAGTCAATATTGAGCTTTGATAAAAGTGATCAAGGATGGGCTATGATCAGTCGAGGAGGCACCATTGAGATGGCTAAAGCCAAGGGTAACACCATTTTGAAAAGCTTAAACCAATTTAAGAAATAGAAAGAAAGTGTAAAAGAGGTTGATTTTTTGACTGCATTCAATGAAAATCTTAATGAGCTTGGTTCGCTAGATCACTGCAACTCTTTGATCATTCCCTACGCTGAAAGAAGCAGCAGCATTTCTGAGATGCGTACTTGTGATGAATGTGGCCCGCCTATGGAGAAGTTTATCGTGTTTAGTTGAATTATTAGCAACTAATAAGTTATTAAGCAAGCTCATAAGTTGGGGTTTATAATGTTTGTTTTTAGGTTCTATTTGTTGCTATTGATCTATAGTGTCACTTGCAAAAGTGGTGTTCAAGCTAGCTTTATTGGAAGAATTCCAAACATTAGCTATGAGCTCCACATTTCAGTGAGCATGAATTGCCTTATTCACACAAACTAATTGAGATCATCTATAGAACTAATGAAATTAAACAAAAACAATTCACTCCCAGGTACAATTTGCAGATTTTTTGTCCCTTTTGTGCCACCAATACAAGGCATTGAGATTTAGAAGATTTTGGGCTCAAAGAAGCAAAATTGTATTGGGCCATATAGGGCTCAATTTCAAGGACATTTGAAGCAGTTTTGAAATTTTTTTGGTTTGCGTAGTTTTTATTTTTATTTCTTTCAAGTAGCCCAATACATTTGTTCACGTCCGGCAACATAGGGTGTGATTGACCAGGCTCCAAGTAACATGACTTTAAAGGCCTGACTACGGTGATATCTAGGTTAGACCCTAAGGTCGGTTTGTTTTTCGATATCTAAGTTAGACCTTAAGCTCGGTTTGTTTTTAAATGTTGAATGGAGGAGATTCATGGGAAAATTAATAGTGAGAGGATTATTAGTAAAATGATTGATAATGAGAAAATTAAGTAAAATTGTATTTGTTTTTATGACAATTATTAGTGTAGGTATTGTTAAATTATTTTTATATAAAATAATAAAAAAATACAAAAATATTAAACATTAATGTTCCAAAAAAAATACCCAATATGTAAAAATAAAAATAAAACAATGATTTTTACTTAACAAAAAATATAAAAAAATTAAACATTAATATTCAAAAAAAATGCCCAACGTGTAAAAAATAAAAATAATAAATAATACTAATAATAATAAATAATCCGACGGACTATTTTTTCAATACAACCTTCACCTCCTGTATCCCAATTCCCCTTCCAAGGCCTGACCTAATCCGAACCTCCATCTCAATCCATTTTTTATCGCTCAAAACAAACACAACATTAGTAAGTCCCACCTCCACCTCCATCTCCATCTCAAACTCAATCCCCCCTCCATCTCTTGAAACAAAAGGGACCTAAAGAGCATTCATAATGGGATAGCTACAAGGCCTCGTTTGTTTTCAGAGGTAGAATAGAAGGGATTCATAGTGAGGGAATTAAGTAAAATTGTATTTGTTTTGATGATAGTTGTTAATGTAGGGATTGTTTAATTATTTTTATATAAAATAATAAAACAAATAAAAAAATACAAAAACATTAAACATTAATGTTAAAAAAAACACCCAACATGTAAAAACAATTAAAAAAATAAATTACAAAAAATTAAAAATTTCCAAATAAAATAAAACAAATAAAACAATGATTTTTACTTAACAAAAATACAAAAAATTAAACATTAATGTTCAAAAAAATGTCCAACATGTAAAAAATAAATAAATAAAATAAAAAATTTCTAGTCCTTGAGATTATTTTTCTAATATCATCTCCACATCCTTCATCCCAATCTCCCTTCCAAAGCTTATCCTAATATCAAAGATTAGAAATCCCTTCCCTATCTCTCAAAACAAATATCCCATATAGTGAGTCTCACCTCACTATCAATCACAATCTCCTCTCTATAACACCAAACAAACGGGGCCCAAAGGTATGTTAAAGTGTGTTATATAACAAAAAATGATAAAGAATAAAGCTTGAGACCCCCACCCCCAGTGACCCCCAATGACCCCCCAGTGCCACGTGGCACCGCGTGATTGGAAGGAAAGGAAAAAAAAATTGTTTTTGGGCCTACTGGGGGTGCTGGGGGTGCCCCCCACTGGGGGTCCCTAGCACCACTGAATGATAAAAATGGAACCAAAAAATTTGTGTTAAGAGTTCGTTAATTTTAAGAAGTGAAAGGTGGTACAATAAATGAGTTAAGATATGTATTAAGCCGTGTGTTAAAAATATGTATATATATATAAACAATAAATAAAATAAATAATAATTGAGTCAATGCTTTCTCTTTCTCTTCTCTTTTTTTTTTTTCTTCTCTCCCTCCCACCTTTACTTGTTATATAATTTAGTCGGACGTCCAGCCGGACGCTCCCACGGCACGGTTAACACTAGAAGTATTTAACACACAAGTTAATAACTGATACTAATGGCGGACACTAACACACCCCTTAATAGCTTTATTACAACACAAAATAGTATTTTTAACTGCAAAAATGCTAGAGGCCCCAAAAATTCTACCAAAAGTTTTACCAAATGTCTCACATGGGTGTAGGACCCACATGGGACCCACATTGTGTGGATCCCACACCCATGTGAGACATTTGTTAAAACTTTCAGTAGAACATTTGGGGTCTCTAGCATTACTCAAAAATTCTACTAAAAGTTTTACCAAATGTCTCACATGGGTGTATGGGTGTAGGACCCACATGGGACCCACATTGTGTGGATCCCACACCCATGTGAGACATTTGGTAAAACTTTTGGTAGAACATTTGGGGTATCTAACATTACTCTTTTTAACTGGCTAGAAATTAATAAGTGACACTAACAAATACACTGACACATCCATTGTGGATTCTCTAATAATGACCTCTTACAGATTTGGTAGTGGTGATATATTTAAATTTATATAAAAATTCTCAATAACTTGGTCATTTATTGAAAAGGATTATGATTTAAAGGTTGAAAAACGACTTTTAAGCTTGTGTTTGGCAAGTGGGTTTACAGGTTTTTTTGATTATTTTAGCCACAAAAAATAAGGTTTACAGGTTTTTTTGATTATTTTAGCCACAAAAAATAAAATAGGCTATTTTAGCCATAACAAACAAAACATCACATCTAACTCAAAATCATTACATTCTTCTCTCATAAAAAAACTCAAAAAAGCCAAAAAGCTAAAAAATCCTTCCCAAACCAAGCTTTTAAACCCAGACTAAAATAGCTAAAAAAGTCAAAAAGCCAAAAAGTCAACTCACTTTCCAAACGGAGGCTAAGAAGACGAACACAATTCATGTATAACCCAACCCTACCAACCATGGACTAGAGCAAAATTTAAAATTATATTTTCAGTGTAATGAAAGTCGGGTTCTAGAACATCTCAAACAAAATTCATTACTGAAAATGGAAGTTATTTATTTAAATTTGTCATATACTGAAGTCTAGTTTAAAAATAAATTATTTTAGTAATTTTTTAAATTTTTTATAAAAAAAATATACAAAAAATAATAATAATAATAATAATAAATGATATAACAATTTATAATAACTTTTTACCTAAAATATTTAATTTCCAAACAAAACTTTTTAATATTAATTCCTAATTTTCTTTTATAAAAAAATTAGGATAAAAACTATAAGATTTGATAAATCTTTAATTTTTAATTTTGTCAATCTTAATTTATTTTTAATTTAAAACATTTTAATATTTTAATCATTATATTCAATTTAAGTGTATTTAATGATTATTTTTTTTGGTCAATAATAGATAAATAATTCAGATTAAAAATAAATTAAAAAACTACTATTTAAAATGTTGAAATTAAAAATTAAAATTTTAGTTTATTATAAGACTCATGCGACTTTTTTTGTTCAAAATTTTTTTTATATATAAATTAAATAGAATATGCAACACTTGATTTATAATTTTTGAAAAAAAAAAAACAAAATTAAAATCGAATAATAAAAAAATGAAAAATCATCATCTATCTTTTAATCAAAACGAAGAAGAGAAATGTACCAGAAGACAGGTAACACGATGCAACAAAACACAATCGTGTAATGCAGCGAGCTGTTTAATTCTGGCAAAAGCAAATCGATCTATGCTTCGGAAACACGAACGTCTCTCACTTTTGTTTGTTAAAAAACAGAGTGAGTTCACCAGTAAGAAGCAACCCCCAAATTCATTGTCACCAAAACCCTAATCACATAATAAAATTGAGCAAATACACACATAGATCTATGGATGATTTATCAAGCCGAGTATAAAACAAACTACTATACCATTAACAAATCACAGATGTAGAAAGAGAGGATTGAGACGGCGTTGAGATTAAATTTACGCTTTCGTTGACACGTCCATCGGCAATCAACCAACGCAACGCCTCACGAAAGCGAAAATTTTGATAGAAGAAAGAAAGAAAATCTTAGATCGGTTAAGGAAGAAGGGGAATCGTTGAAGCCATGAAAGATTTCAAAAAATTTCAAGAACGTATTCCTCGTTCATCTGGAGCGGCGTTAGGGTTTTACCCTCTCTGATCTGGTGTCCATGGTTAGGGTTTTATAGAGTGACGAAGGACATTGGGAATGCATAGTAAAAGAGAATCACAAAAAAAATGCCCTCAATTAAAGGCAATGTTGTTGAGACCAAATAAAGGGCAAAAAATATATATATATATATATATTAGGGTCCAGTTTGTCTCCAATTGAAGATTAAAATTGAACCATTTAGTCCACTCCGTGAGTTCATTTGTTGGTTCTATTTTGATAATTTGAATAGTTTGTATTTTAGAATTCGTCGAATACACTATCTATATAAAAAATAAGTCAATTGGATAACGACAACTACGTTTTCAAACTTTTTTTTTCATTATCTATTTTTTTATATAAAATAGATTTGAACACGTAATTGTCGTTATCTAATCAACTTGATTTTTAATAAAGATAATGTGCTCGACGAATTTTAAAATGTGAACGGTTTAGATTATTGAAACGGGATCCAAAAGTGGGCCCACATAATGGACTAGACGGTCTAGTATTGATCTCGAACTAGAGACAAACTGGACTCTCTTTTTTAATATAAAAGATATGATTTTATAAAAAAAAAATTCATTCCATTGAGATTAAATATTATTTAAATTAAAATCTTATAATTTAACGTAATTACTAATAAAAACTAGATTAATTGTTATAATCCAAATATCATCTTTGTATCAGAAACTATATTTCCCAATAGCTAAAATATCCAAAACATGACAAACATAGCTAATATTATCATGGCCATCAATCAACTAAATGATGACGATACGAGTTAAAATTTAACCATAATCATTTAAGTTTAAATACAAATTGGTTGTTAGAGTTGATGATTGGAGTATCATTCGAGATCACGGATTGATTATAGAGTCACAAGAGAGTGGCCAAAAGTCAGAATGGTGACTTGTTGATTCTCAGAGCCCATTGGAAATCATTGAAAGTTGGTCGAAGGCCGGATTGCAATAGGTGGTCGATAGCGGCAGCGATGAGTGGAGGCCAAAGATGATGGAAAAAAAGAGGAGAAAATTTTGTTTTGAGAGCAAGCAAAATTTTATTTTTTTGTTTCCAAAAATTTTAAAAACCGTAGAATCCAATCTATAATATCTCAAACAAATTTTCATTTCCAATTTAAAAATCAAAACAAAAACAGATAACAGAAAACAAAAATTTACCAAAAGAAGCTAAATTTAAACCACATTGGAAGCAAGGTACTTGATTCACTTAGCCTTTATACCATTACTATCCTTTTAACTAACTATAAAAAGACTTGAAAGGAAGGCAAACAGAGACCACCACCACCCTCACAAGAAGCTATATATCATTCCTTTATTTCATCTGCCATTGAAAGAGTTTATATTTTTCCTCCTCCGTAGATTCTGCAACAATACCGGCTGATTCTATGATGCAGCAGACAAGGAGTAACATTCAAATGTTCTCGAGGTCCGACAGACAAAGAAATGATGAAGCAAATCCAGAACACCCATTCCCCTGATGCCCGTGAATTCGATGTCAAACTACTCCTCTATCTCATTGAGGATATCTTTCATCATTACACCCCTTCCGAAATTCTTGGACTTGGCCTTGGCCTTGTGTCACACACTGGCAATGCGGAAGCCTTGTTGAAGATAAGCAAGTGTGTGTGGCGCTACTTAACTCTCTTCACTAGCCCGCCAAGAATGCTCGAAATGTTTGCAAAGACAAGCAAACACAATATTAGTCCAGTTGATGAGCCACAAGTTTGGAGACAAGCCACAAAATAACAATCAACAAGCTAAAATTAAAGTAGCAACAACTGAAAGACTTTACACAATATAAAAGCGAAATGAACTTTTCATTACTCAAAAGAAGGCATTACAAAAGTTGAACAATGCACAAAAGTGCTACAAAAGTTGTCTTACTATATACAAAGTTGGGGTATGCACAAGTGGTTTGGTTCAACACTTGGGTACCCCCTCCTTATAACAGTTTGTTAAGCGCTTTTCTATCTGACACGAGGAAAGATCCACTATGTTTGAAGAGTCATAATGGATATTTAAAAATAATACAAAAAATAAAAAAATTACAACTCTTGGACTCAAAACACTTTTAATACTAAGGTATTTACATAAAAATTTACAAGACAAAAAGATAACATTTGACCCTTTAAAAGTTGGCCTAAAGTTGCTACTTGGTGGCTAGCTTGCTTCATGGCATGTCTTGAACTTGCACCAACAACTTCTTAGGCATGTCTTTGGCTCTCCAAAGGGCACAAATGTGTGTGGCATCAAGGTGTTGACCCTTTGATGGGCGCACCTTGACAGTCTCCCCCACTTGAACGGTCGACGCCCTCGACGACTTGGCCCAATAAGCATCAATCTCGTCTTGAAAAGCCGACAAGTCCGCCTCCCGTTCCCAGCTGATTTCTTCGTCTCCAAGGCCTTTCCATTTCACCAAGTATTGCCTTTGTTGCTTCTTGGAAACCATTTTCACCCGATCGGCCAAGATAGATTCAATAGACCTTTTCCCTGCTTTGGCTGTGATGGTTTGGCATTTCTGCTCATTTCGGGTTGGATCTTCCTTGTCTGGATAGTAAGGCTTCAAATAACTCACATGGAAAACCGGATGCACTTTCAACCAAGATGGAGCATCTATCTTGTAAGCACACTTGCCAATTCTCTTCAGAATGGTTACCGGTCCCTCATACTTGCGCACTAGCCTTCTGTCTTTTCCCCTCATAAACTTGCGTTGCTCAGGGTTGAGTTTGACAAGAACTTGATCCCCAGCTTTAAACTCAAGTGGCCTCCTCTTTTCATCATCCTATTTCTTCATTTTACTTGCTGCTTTCTCAAGATAAGCACGAGTAATGTCATGGTTTCTCTTCCATTCTTTAGCAAATTGGTATGCCCTGGGAGACTTTCCTTCATAAGGTCCATCCACTGTGTGGGGCAACAGTAGCTGCTGGCCATTCACTATCTCAAAAGCACTCTTGCCCATAGAGCTGCTCCTTTGAGAGTTGAAGCATAACTGTGCTACATCAAGAAGTTGCACCCAATTCCGTTGATTAGCATTGACAAAGTGTCGCAAATACTCCTCGAGCATACAGTTGAAGCATTCAATTTGCCCATCCGTCTCCGGATGGTAGCTTGATGAAGTATTAAGTTGTGACCCAAGAAGCTTGAATAACTCCGTCCAGAAGTTGCCAACAAAACGCGTGTCTCGGTCACTAACAATACTTTTAGGCACACCCCAATATTTGACAATGTGCTTAAAGAAGAGTTGGGCAGTCTCCTCTGCTAAAACATACTTTGGGGCAGCAATGAAGGTAGCATATTTAGAGAATCGGTCCACAATAGTTAAGATAGTCCCGATATCCCCCACTTTAGGCAATCCAGTGATGAAGTCAAGTGATACACTTTCCCACGGACGTTTAGGCATGGGCAAAGGTTCAAGAAAGCATGCTTTCTTCTTATGCTCAACCTTGTCTTGTTGGCAAGTGAGACAAGTGCGGACATATTCTTCCACATCATCACACATTTGGAGCCAATAATATCCTTGTTTCACCAAGGCCAAAGTTCGCTCCCACCCCGGATGTCCTGCCCAAAGTGTATCATGGCACTCCCTAAGAAATGTCTTTCTCAAGTCACCAGCCCTGGGTACAAATATACGGTTGCCTGTTGTCATAAGGAGTCCATCTTGCACCCAAAATTGACGAGTCTTGCCCATTTTGACAAGGTTCATAAGATTCTCTGCCATAGCATCCTTGTCTAGATGAGCCTTGATTTTCTCCTTGAGGCTGGTTGAAATGGAAGTTAAAGAGCATACATGATGGCACACGGCAAGCTCCGCCTTCCTGCTTAGTGCATCAGCAACATGGTTGGTGGCACCGGCCTTGTATTCTAAGGCAAAATCAAACTCTGCCAACTTCTCTTGCCACCGTGCTTGTCGTGCGCTTAGCTTGGGCTGTGTGAAGAAATGGATAACTGCTGTGTTGTCAGTCTTCACAACAAACCGGGAGCCCAAGATGTAGTGCCTCCAAGTCCTCAGACAATGCACTACTGCAAGCAACTCTTTCTCATTTCGCTCAGCATCATTGAGCTTCCTACTCTCATAAGCAATTGGGTGGCCATCCTGCAAAAGAACACCACCCAAAGCGAAATCAGATGCATCCATTTGTATCTCAAAAGCTTTACCTAAGTCCGGTAGAACAAGAACAGGATCTCTTGACATGGCTTCTTTTAAGGCTTGAAAGGCTTGTTGGCACTCCTCTGTCCAAACATATGGCTTGCCCTTCTTTAGCAACTCTATCAATGGGGAAGCAAGTCTTGAATACCCTTCAACAAACTTGCGATAATAGTTAGCCAATCCAAGGAATGACCGCAACTCTGAGACATTGGCAGGTGGCTACCACTCTTGAATAGACTTGACATTCTCTTGGTCCATTCTGATGCATCCGTGCTCAACAATGTGCCCTAGGAACTTAATCCTCTCTTGGGCAAAAGAACACTTCTCCAGCTTGAACTGACGAGTCTTGCCCATTTTGACAAGGTTTATAAGATTCTCTGCCATAGCATCCTTGTCTAGATGAGACTTGATCTTCTCCTTGAGGCTGGTTGAAATGGAAGTTAAGGAACATACATGATGGCACACGGCAAGCTCCGCCTTCCTACTTAGTGCATCAGCAACATGGTTGGTGGCACCGGCCTTGTATTCTAAGGCAAAATCAAACTCTGCCAACTTCTCTTGCCACCGTGCTTGTCGTGCGCTTAGCTTGGGCTGTGTGAAGAAATGGCTAACTGCTGTGTTGTCAGTCTTCACAACAAATCGGGAGCCCAAGATGTAGTGCCTCCAAGTCCTCAGACAATGCACTACTGCAAGCAGCTCTTTCTCATGAGCTGGATATCTCCGCTCAGCATCGTTGAGCTTCCTACTCTCATAAGCAATTGGATGGCCATCCTGCAAAAGAACACCACCCAAAGCAAAATTAGATGCATCCGTTTGTATCTCAAAAGCTTTACCTAAGTCCGGTAGAGCAAGAACAGGATCTCTTGACATGGCTTCTTTTAAGGCTTGTTGGCACTCCTCTGTCCAAACATATGGCTTGCCCTTCTTTAGCAACTCTATCAATGGGGAAGCAAGTCTTGAATACCCTTCAACAAACTTGCGATAATAGTTAGCCAATCCAAGGAATGACAGCAACTCTGAGACATTGGCAGGTGGCTGCCACTCTTGAATAGACTTGACCTTCTCTTGGTCCATTCTGATGCATCCGTGCTCAACAATGTGCCCTAGGAACTTAATCCTCTCTTGGGCAAAAGAACACTTCTCCAGGTTGACATAAAGCTTGTGTTCTCTCAGCTTGGTAAGGGCCTTTTGAAAATGCTCCACGTGCTCTTCTAAAGTGGAGCTATAGATTACAATGTCATCCAAATATACCACAACGAATTGATCCAAATACTCTTGAAAGACTTCATTCATCATGATGCAGAATGTTGCTAGGGCATTAGTCAAGCCGAATGGCATGACAAGAAACTCATAAGAGCCATAACGTGTAACACAAGTAGTTTTAGGCTCGTCTCCCTCGGCAATCCTTACTTGACAGTACCCCGACCGAAGATCTAGCTTAGTAAAATACCTTTCTTTGCTCAATTGATCAAACGAATCTGCAATGAGAGGAAGGGGACACTTGTTCTTGATGATCAGCTTGTTGAGTGCCCGATAATCCACACATAAGCGAAGACTACCATCATGCTTCTTTTGAAATAAGGCAGGTGCACCGAATAGGGCCTTAGATGACCTGATAAAGCCTGCTTCTAATAACTCTGTAAGCTGCTTCCTTAACTCATTCAACTCGGGAATAGCCATTCTATATGGTGCACGAGCTGGTGGTTTTGCCCCTGGCACTAACTCAATAGCATGATCCACACCTCGACGTGGAGGCAACTCCTTAGGCAACTGTTCAGGCATAACTTCTGTAAATTGCCTTAAGACCTTCTTGACTGCAGCTGGGACAGGAGTAGAATCAAGAGCTTCATTCAACTTCAATGCTGCAACCCAAGTTTGCTCCCCATGTCTAACACCCCTCTTGAGTTGCATAGCTGAGACAAACCGGTCATTGTTGTTAGTGGCCATAACAGGAATGAGACATGGCTTATCCCCCATGACACACATACTATTAGAATAAGGCATGACTGCCGTCTTCGTAGTTCTCAAGAAATCCAACCCAAGGATGGCTTGGAAGTCAACCATGGGTACTGCGGTGAAATCTACTCTTCCTTCCCAAGTGCTGACCTTCAAATGAACAGATTTTGCAACCCCATAGATAGGCTACGCTGCCGAGTTAACTGCCTTGATGCAGCTGCCATCCTTCTCTAAAGATAGCCCAAGTCTTTCAACTTCAGTCCCCGCAACAAAGTTGTGGGTGGCCCCGGTGCCAATCAACGCACGAAGGGGCTTCCCATTGATTTTCACATCCACAAACATCAAACCTTTGTTGGATGACTTGCTCTTGTTCAACTTGCTTGATGATTCCCCACTATACATGGGTTTCTTCCCTTTGCCTTCATCTCTAGGCTCCACAAGTTGTTTAGGATCTGAATGCTTGCCCACTTTGCCACTCTTGGCATTCTTCTTAGGCCTGCCTGTAGAAACCTTCTTTTTCATGGCATTCATCGTATGAAAGGCTCCCACTCTAGAGCCAGCTGCCTTAGAACCCTTGCCACTTCGCTTAGACCGCACATCCTCTTCCTCACTATCATCCTCGCTTGGTTGAGAGACATGGTCAGACACAGTTGCTAGAGCATTCAAGGCACGCTTTTGTGGACATTCAGATAACCGGTGTGGCCCATTACATAAGAAACAAGAGATAGGGCCTTTTGCTTTACTTGTAGAGAATTGTTGAGGGGCTTTTGCCTTGTCACCATAGCTTTTCTGTTGCCACTGTCCTCCACCCGAATGGCTTTTGGATGTAGAAATGTTGGCTCCCTCACTCTTGGGTTTGCCATAGCCTTGGGACTTTCCACCTCCCCTACTCTTGCGCGGGGAACTACTATCCCGTTGCTTAGGTTCGGCGTAGTCCGTAAGGCATTCAGCTGCTGCTTGTGCATGGCCTAAATCTTGCACTCTTTACCTTTGAAGTTCAACTCTGGCCCATGGCTTCAATCCCTCAAGGAAGAAGAAGAGCTTGTCTTTCTCTGACATATCTCTGATGTCTAGCATAAGCCCAGAGAATTCTTTCACATAATCTCTTATAGTGTCGATGTGCTTGAGATCCCGCAAAGCACGCCGGGCATTGTACTCAACATTTTCAGGGAAGAATTGGAGCTTAAGTTCATGCTTCAGTTACTCCCAAGTCTCAATTGTGCATAAACCTCGTTGCATCTCATCATGTTTAGTCCGCCACCATAACTTGGCATCACCGGACAAATACATTGTGGCCATAGAAATCCTTGTCTCCTTAGCATCGGCTTTCACAACTTTGAAATATTGCTCCATATCAAAAAGGAAGTTGTCTAACTCCTTGGCATCTCGGGCGCCACCGTAGGCACGGGGCTCGAGCACACGCGCCCTAGTGAATTCCATGCCACCACCAGGTGCATTGCCAAAGGCACGGGTAAGAACACCAACCCGGCCACTGAGGTCTTCAATCTCTAGCCTGAGTTCAGTGACAACATCCTCAAAATCTTGCCCATGAGTAGGGCCATGAGTTTGCTCAAGATCATACACCCGTTGCTCAAGGGTGGCTAATGAAGTTGCCATGGCCTCCATATTGTCCATACGCTGTTCCAAGAGCTCAATTCTCTCCCTTTGCGATGGTTGACGATTGCCAGCACCCTCCATTTAGAAAGCCAATAATAGAGAAAGCCAAATAGACTGGGCTCTGATACCAACTGTCACACACTGGCAATGCGGAAGCCTTGTTAAAGATAAGCAAGTGTGTGTGGCGCTACTTAACTCTCTTCACTAGCCCGCAAGAATGCTCGAAATGTTTGCAAAGACAAGCAAACACAATATTAGTCCAGTTGATGAGCCACAAGTTTGGAGACAAGCCACAAAATAACAATCAGCAAGCTAAAATTGAAGTAGCAACAACTGAAAGGCTTTACACAATATAAAAGTGAAATGAACTTTTCATTACTTAAAAGAAGGCATTACAAAAGTTGAACAATGCACAAAAGTGCTACAAAAGTTGTCTTACCATATACAAGGTTGGGGTACGCACAAGTGGTTTGGTTCAACACTTGGGTACCCCCTCCTTATAATAGCTTGTTAAGCGCTTTTCTATCTGGCACGAGGAAACATCCACTATGTTTGAAGAGTCATAATGGATATTTAAAAATAATAAAAAAAATAGAAAAATTACAACTCTTGGACTCAAAACACCTTTAATACTAAGGTATTTACATAAAAATTTACAAGACAAAAAGATTACATTTGACCCTCTAAAAGTTGGCCTAAAGTTGCTACTTAGTGGCTAGCTTGCTTCATAGCATGTCTTGGACTTGCACCAACAACTTCTTAGGCATGTCTTTGGCTCTCCAAAGGGCACAAATGTGTGTGGCATCAAGGTGTTGACCCTTTGATGAGCGCACCTTGACACCTTGCCAATGTATGAATTTACTCTCCTTTATTTGTGCTATTTGGTATTGTTTTTGTTTTGGAAATGATTAATTAATTACACAGATGGTTCTCAAAATACACGTCTTGTGTTATTTTGATTCCATAAAATCGTGACTTTTTCAACAATTGTGTTTGAGTAATTATGATTGCTTGTGTAGGCAAGTCAGTCACAGAGCCATGCCCTAGATGACAACACCCTCCAAAATAGCATCCGTGACATTGTTGAACTTTTGGCAAACCCCATTGATACAATTTCTTTCGAGGTATTTTATTAGGAAAATACCAATTAGTAGGGAGTGTAATAAATATTTATCAAAAGATCAGAATTTTTGTGAAATTCAATTTTTACTGTATTTTTTTACCCAAAACAAAGGTTACACATCCATATATTTGTAATTTTTTGATCAACTATTATCCAAGGTCAATCTATATAATATTGTTTGTCATAGGGCTGAGCAAGAAATCCGTGAAATCTGTAATCCGATCCAGTCCAGTCCAATCCGATAGGTTTGGACTGATTTTTTAAATCCGCGGTTCGGTTCCGGATTGAAGAATTAAAAATCCGTAGTCTACGGATTGGTTCCGGATTGAACCCCATGGTTCCGGATTGAAACCGATCCGGACCGTATACAAATAGTCTATATTTTTATTATACATCTTCCCCCATAGTATCTTCTCTTATTCTGTATAAAATCTAAACTCAAACCTAAAACTGTATAATATCTTCTTTTATTACTCTTGTTTATTAGTTTTTAGTTTTAATTTGTAGTGGTCTAAATACTTATGGTGCAACCAGTTTTCTTATGGTTGTTTAAATTCTAGAGCAGTATGTCACTATTATAGAAAAACATGTTGCTATTGTGGAACTGATATAACGTATGTTTATATTTTTATGAAATTAAAGTGTTATATATATTTTTTTGTTATTTAATTATGTGAATCCGTGGTCCTAAACCGATCCAATCTGTATTTAAATGGATTGGTTCGGATTGGTTCCATGATTTAAACGGATTGGATTGATTCCAATTTTTCAAGAACCGTAGATAACGGATTGGTCATGATTTTACCCCAATCCGATCCAATCCGGACCATGCTCGCCCCTAGTTTGTCACACTTCAACCATGAATAGAAGCATTATAGTAAAATTAAATAATTCCATACATGTCTCTCGATAGGGGTGTAAATCTGGCCCGATCTGACCCATATAGGGCCTTGCGGGCTCTCGCCAAAATTCAGGCCAGGCAGGTTCGGGCCATGGGCCAGAAAATTAGACCCAGACCGAATGGTATTTGAGCCTAGGACAGGCCGGTGGGCCTAGGGCGGGCTTAGACAGGCCTAATCTTCAGTGATTTTTAAAAATATATATATTTCAGTTTCAGCTCTATCTTATGCAGACAAACTTAAAAAGTAAAAAAAAAAAAAATCAAAATCAAAATAAAAAATTGCTAAAATAAAAAAGCCAAGAAGGCTAAATTTCTTTAGTTTTTTTTTTTTTTTTTTTTTTTTGTTTTTTTTTTTTTTTTTTTTTTTTTGGGTCCTTTCTAGACTTTTTTGTCAATTTTTTTTTTATATATTTTCAATCCATTTGGTTGAGTAGAATCCAAATATGTAGAATATTTTGGAAGTTTTCATAAAAAGTTCATTAAAAAAGAAAAAATATAACAAAAAAATAATTAAAAGAACCAACCCCAAACACATAACTTCTAATTTGTTGCCCAAAGTAATTTGAAGCTTGATTGTAACAGGTCTCTAGCAAGTGTTCAAGGGGTTCAGATGCTCACACAACTACTCTAGCACTCTTCAACATACTCTCTAGCTACTCATGGGATGCCAAGGTTGTGATAGCCTTAGCAGCATTTTCCATTAACTGGGGTGAGTTGTGGCTGGTTCACCAGCATTACCAATTCAATCCGCTTGCCGAGTACTTGACACTGTTTAAGCAACCACCGAACTTGCTCAAGGAACCCAACTCTCTAAAACCCACGTTTGAGGCACTAACTAACCTCATCAAGGCCATGATGGATGTGACCAAGTGCATAGTCGAGTTCAAGAAGTTTCCTCCTCAGTACATCACCTCAAACATGCCGGTGATGGTAAGCCATCGAGCATACCCCCTCCACCGTTTACTAGACAATTCGGAGTATTGTGACATGTGCTTCGTGAATCATTAACATTTGTTGGTGATAATTATAAATAAAACACTAGAAAATACAAATAATAAAAATTACAATAACTATTGTAAGGGCTGAAGCGCGGGAAATTCGCTCTCTTTAAGGAGATTCAAGCCTTCTGCGGTTAGGCAAAGCCTCACACCGGTGCAACAGAAAAAACCTTGACTTGTCCCCCCCAAGATACAACAGCTCGACTAAGTTGTATGATTAACCAATACTGCACAATTTGTTGAACCCAAAACTTTATCACATACACCCTTTTCTATTTGGCTGATAATCTCACACAAGACATAATAAAAGCAACCAAAACTTCTTCTCATATATCCCAAGATAGGACATAGCTCAATATATATAGGAAAAAAAGCTAGGAGGGTCTTCCTTGGTGGATAAGTAAAGGAAGACTTGGAAGACTTGAATGGATAAGACTTGGCGAAGACTTATCTTTGAAGACTAAGAAGACTTGATGTGGATAAGAATTGGGAGACTTGACCAAGATTTGGCAAAGACTTGAATGGTAAGTAAACTTGGTAGAAAAGAAAAGAAAGTCAACCTATGACACATTATAATATTAAAATACCTGCTAATATTCTCCCACCTATTTTAATATTATAGGTAACAAAAACTGAGATTATTATGCAAATAAGGATATTATGCATCATGGTAGGTGTGCTCTGCATTGAACCTCCATTAGTGAAACAATAATATCTACTCCAGAGCCAATAGTTTGCTCAGCATTGAACTATGACTGCTTAAGCGAAATAAATAATTATTGCACACACATAATATTCCAGGTGTTCACATAAGCTTTAAAAGCTAGCACATTACGGCCTTGTGCGATCCTAGGATTCATGAGTGTGTTTGAGAATTAGCCCAAATCTCATAGGTAGCGGCCCCATTACCACGCTTACATAAGTGAATTCTGTCAAGGGTGCTCCTGTAACTATGACACCCCACTCAATAAGAGCTACAGAAATTCATTAAGAGTTTTTTAATAACTCAACCTCTACAACGTTACAGGATAAATACACTTACATCATAGGGATGGGTAAAAAATAATTTAGTGCATTTCTCGTGGCCATCATATGGTCGTTTTTCTCATTGAACCCAGTTACAGGATCTCTGGTCCCTGGGTTGAGTATCCTCATACATGGCTCTTGCTATATTCGATGGGCTTCAACCCTATCCCCCTTGATGTATTCCAGACTCTATCTCTTGCTAAGGCCTTAGTTAATGGATCTGCAAGATTATCACCAGATTTAATATAATCCACATTTATGATGCCATTATTCATATAAGATCTCACAGTACTGTGTTTTCTTCTGATAGGTCTGGATTTACCGTTATAATAACGGTTATTAACTCGACCAATTGCTGCGGTGCTATCACAATGAATCAATATAGGTGGAATCGGTTTTTCCCAACAAGAGATTTCATTTAACAAATCTCTCAACCAATATAGGCTGTACTATTTATTGCATATCTAAGAAAAGCACAAATGGCAGCTTTTACACCTAATTTAGGTCTTTTAGGGTCCACAAGTCTAATAAAAGCTAGACAACCCCAAACCCTCAAATATCTCAAATTTGGCTTATGCCCTTTCCACAACTCACAAGGTGTAACTTTTGTTTATTTTATATGGCACTCTATTCATAACATAACATGCAATTAAAATTGCTTCTCCCCACAAATTTGAAGAAGCACCTATAACTATGACACTCCACTCAATAAGAGCTACAGAAATTCATTAAGAGAGTTTTTTAATAACTCAACCTCTACAACGTTACAGGATAAATACACTTACATCATAGGGATGGGTAAAAAGTAATTTAGTGCATTTCTCGTGGCCATCATATGGTCGTTTTTCTCATTGAACCCAGTTACAGGATCTCTGGTCCCTGGGTTGAGTATCATCATACATGGCTCCTGCTATATTCGATGGGCTTCAACCCTATCCCCCTCGATGTATTCCAAACTCTATCTCTTGCTAAGGCCTTAGTTAATGGATCTGCAAGATTATCACCAGATTTAATATAATTCACATTTATGATGCCATTATTCATATAAGATCTCACAGTACTGTGTTTTCTTCTAATAGATCTGGATTTACCGTTATAATAACGGTTATTAACTCGACCAATTGTTGCGGTGCTATCACAATGAATCAATATAGGTGGAATCGATTTTTCCCAACAAAAGATTTCATTTAACAAATCTCTTAACCAATTTGCTTCTTCACTAGCTATAGCTAAAGCAATAAGCTCAGCCTCCAATGTTGAATTAGCAATAATGGTTTGTTTTTTCGATTTCCAACTTATAGCACCACCTCCCAATATAAATAAGTAACCGGTGGTTGATAATGAATCACCTGACAAGGTATTCCAATCGGCATCACTGTAACCTTCAAGTACTGCAGGATACTTATTATAAAACAAGCCATATTTTATCGTACCAGATAAATATTTCATAATCCGCTCAATGGCTAGCCAGTGATCACTGCCAAGCTTGCTAATAAACATGTTAAGTACTCTAACTGCATAGGCAATGTCAGGTCTGGTACAGTCAGTTGCATAACGCAAGCTACCAATCATACTAGCATATTCCTTTTGATTAATTACATCCTCATCATATGAGGATCAAAAGGAGTAAGAACATGCTTGCACTTATAAAAATTATATTTTCTCAAAATTTTCTCAACATAATGCGACTGATCAAGAAATATACCATCACAGGTTTTGGTAATTTTCATTCTCAAAATATAATTAGCCTCACCAAGAGCTTTCATATCAAAATGGCAACTGAGTATATTTTTAGTTTCCACGATGATATGCAAATTAGAGCCAAATATGAGTAAATCATCCACATAGAGGCTAATAATGATATGTGAATTTTCTTCAGATTTATAGTAGATGCATTTATCACATTCATTCGTTTTATAGCCATTCTCAATCATGCAAGAATCAAATTTCTCATGCCACTATTTAGGGGTCTGCTTTAAGCCATATAGGGATTTAACTTGCTTGCACACTTTGCTTTTTTGACCGGGTTCCACAAAACCCTCAGGTTGATCCATATAGATTTCTTCACCCAGGTCTCCATTTAAAAAGGCTGTTTTAACATCCATTTGATGAATTTTTAAATCATGACTTGCAGCCACTGCAATTAATAATCTAATAGATGTGACTCTAGTAACCAGAGAAAATATATCAAAAAAGTCAAGATCTACTTGTTGTTTAAAACCTTTTGCAACAAGCCTTGCTTTATATTTATCAATAGTTCCACCGGTTTAAATTTTTTTCTTAAAACCCATTTACAGCCAATAGTTTTACAACCTGGTGGTAAATCTACTAATACCCAAGTTTTATTGGATAATAATGATTCCATCTCATCATTTACAGTGTCATTCCAAAAAACAGAGTCAGAAGATGCCAAAGCTTCTTGTAAACTTAATGGAGTTCCCTCCACATTAAAAACATGATAATCAGGGCCAAAATCTTTTTCTAATCTGGCTCTTTTACTCCTAGGTTCAAAAACTATAGGATCTTGGTTTTGTAAAAGAGGAGTAAAGGGACCGGTTTCAGATAAAATGTTTTCTTGATAATTTTGTCCCCCTCCATTTTTAGATTTAAAATGAAATTTTTCTTCATGAAAAATTGCATCACCTGATTCAAAAATTATTTTGTTTTCAATATCAAAAAATCTATAGGCTGTACTATTGTTGCATATCCAAGAAAAGCACAAGTGGCAACTTTCACACCTAATTTAGGTCTTTTAGGGTCCACAAGTCTAACAAAAGCTAGACAGCCCCAAACTCTCAAATATCTCAAATTTGGCTTACGCCCTTTCCACAACTCAAAAGGTGTAACTTTTGTTTTTTTATGCGGCACTCTATTCATAACATAACATGCAGTTAAAATTGCTTCTCCCCACAAATTTGAAGGAGCACCTGATTCAATTAGTATAGCATTTATTAAATTAGTTAAAGTTCTATTTTTCCTTTCTGCTACACCATTGGATGCAGGTGAATATAGTGGAGTAGTTTCATGGATTATTCCCAAAGACTGAGCAAACGAGTTGAATCCAAATGATTCATACTCCCGGCCTCTATCACTTCTATATCTTTTAATCTTTTTACCGAATTGATTTTCAACTTCAAGAAGGAATTCTTTAAATTTTTCAAAAGCATCACTTTTATTTTTCAACAAGTATACATAAGTGTATTTTGAAAAATCATCAATAAAAGTGATAAAATATCTATTTCCACCACGTGTTAAAATTCCTTCAAATTCACATAAATCGGTGTGAATTAATTCTAACAATTTAGTATTTCTCATCACACTTTTATGGGGCTTTTTAGTTATTTTTCCTTGACTGCAAACTTCACATTTCTCAAACTTATTTGTTAGTCTAGGAATTAATCCTAAACTACTCATGAGTCCCACATATCGGCTATTAATATGACACAGACGAGCATGCCAAAAATTCATAGAAGGCAGTATGTAAATAGAAACATGTGCTTTCTTATTCTCAACATTTAATTTAAACATTCCATCACAGGCATACCCTTTCCCCACAAATATGCCTTTTTTAGTGATTACATATTGGTCAGATTCAATAGTCTACTTGAAACTAGCTTTGTTGAGCAAATAACTCGACATCAAATTTTTTCTCATGAACGGTGTGTACAACACATCTTTCAAAACAAGCACAAGTATTTCTCACCACACTTTTATGAGGCCTTTTAGTTATTTTTCCTTGACTGCAAACTTCACATTTCTCAAACTTATTTGTTAGTCTAGGAATTAATCCTAAACTACTCATGACTCCTACATATCGGCTATTAATATGACACAGACGAGCATGCCAAAAATTCATAGAAGGCAGCATGTAAATAGAAACATGTGCTTTCTTATTCTCAACATTTAATTTAAACATTCCATCACAGGCATACCCTTTCCCCACAAATATGTTTTTTTTAGTAATTGCATATTGGTCAGACTCAATAGTCTGCTTGAAACCAACTTTGTTGAGCATATAACTTGACATCAAATTTTTCCTCATGGACGGTGTGTACAACACATCTTTTAAAATTGAGCTCAACATCCCCACACCCGAGCACCTTGGTTAAGCTAGAGTCACCAAGCATAACAGTCTTCTCCTCATTAAAATGAATGGAATCTTTGAACTAATCTTTATCATAGCAGGCATGCCTATTGGCACCAAAGTCTGCCCATCACCCTTCCACAGATTGAACCATAAAAATATCTGTGATCATAGCCACAAATGGTTCCTCGGCAACATTAGCCTGTAGTCGAGACTGTTGTTTCCAAAATTTGCAAGTTCGAGCAATATTCTCACTTTTGCCACACACAAAACATGTCACGTTTGTCAAATCTTGTGAAAGGGGTTTTTGGTTCCATTTCTTTTGCCTCGGGTAATTTTTATTTTGTGGCCTTCCAGTATTTTTTCTAATTTTCTTAACTGGCTTCAAGTGCCTATTTTTATGAAATCGACCTTTAGGTAAAGTATTTCCAGAAGTTAAATTTACCTTCGCAGTGGAATACTCTTGTGTCATAAGCACATATTGTCCTCATGCTTCCTCCTCCACCCGAATCCGTGTGATTAGAGTCTCCAAGGATGTCTCTTTTTGCTTGTGGCGCATTGACTTCTGGAACTCCCTCCAAGACGATGGTAGTTTGTCAACAATACCTGCTACAACAAGATTTTCTCTAATTTTGATGCCTTCAGATCTAATTTCAGCAACTAATATCTGAAAATCTTGAACTTGCTCCACTACTGATTTTTCATCTATCATTTGATAGCGGAAAAACCGGCTTGCAGCATATTTTTTAGCACCTGCCTCTTCAGTGTCATATTTATTCTGTAAGACTTTCTAAATTTTCTTGGCAGTGGTGTAAGTAGTATCATAATAATCATAAAATTGTTCCGAAAGGCAATTCAAAAGATAATATCGACATTTATACTCATCTGCGTTGTATTTCTCGATTTTTTCAAGATGAGCAGCATACTCCTCGTCGGTCATCTCTTTAGTGGGGACTTTGTTCCGATTTTTCTCGATCAAGATATAGACCACCTTGAGGAGACTGAGGTAGAAAAGCACCTTGCCTTTCCATCTCTTGAAATAGACTCCCTTGAACCGAAAGGACTTGTTGAGATCGCTGGTATTCTCGTTGGGCTTCTCCAGTACTGGCTCCATAACTTTTTGCTATTTGAATCTCCTTAAAACTGATGGTGATAATTACAAATAAAACACCAGAAAATACAAATAATAAAAATTACAATAACTATTGTAAGGGCTGAGACGCGGGAAAATCTCTCTCTTTAAGGAGATTCAAGCTCTCTGCGATTAGGCAAAGCCTCACACCGGTGCAGCAAAAAAAACCTTGACTTGTCCCCCACAGGATACAACAGCCCGACTACGTCGTATGGTTAACCAATACTGCACAATTGATTGAACCCAAAACTTTATCACATACACCCTTTTTTATTTGCCTGATAATCTCACATAAGACATAATAAAAGCAACCAAAACTACTTCTCATATATTCCAAGATAGGACATAGCTCAATATATATAGGAGAGAAAGCTAGGAGGGACTTCTTTGGTGGATAAGAAAAGGAAGACTTGAAAGACTTGAATGGATAAGACTTGGGGAAGACTTATCTTGGAAGACTAAGAAGACTTGGTGTGGATAAGAATGGGGAGACTTGACCAAGACTTGGCAAAGACTTGAATGGTAAGTAAACTTGGTAGAAAAGAAAAGAAAACCAATCTATAACACATTATAATATTAAAATACCTGTTAACAACATTATTAGCATGAGACATGAGTATGTTCTTCTCAAAAAATTATTGAGCTGTGTCGAAATATTATGTGGTTTTGATGAATCACAGGCTCAAAAGAAAATGATTGGGCCAGCCTTGTTTGTCAACTGGCCTATCAAAATGTTTTTTTTATTTTTTATTTTTAATCTATTGCTTATAAATTGGCTTGTTGTTTAGGCTGATTTTTGTTTTTCAGGTCAATTTTTTTAACTTTCTAGTTCCATTTAAAATAGACAATCTCAAAAATTAAAAAATCTAAATTTTGAAAAAAAAAAATTCATTGAAGACAAAATAACCCAACTTTTATAGGTATTTTTCAACAAATTATGGGTTTTTTTTTTTTAACATTTTAAACATTTTTAGTGGACTTTTTTTTTTAATTTTGATATTTTCTAATTTTTATGAACTTAAAAAATAAACCTTTTTACTCAAAGTTAAAAAAAAAAATTATTAAAGACAAAAATAAACCTAACAAATAAAGAACTTAAAAACTGAGCAGATGGAAAGCCTATGTCAGCATATTGAAGAGACCCTGTGAAGAGCCCTGTTCTGGAAAATTGTATTTTCATATTTGGTTTTTATTTTTATTTTTTTCCCTCAAAATTGGCAGTAAAATGTTTTTAAAATGTGTTTGATTTGTCCCGACTAAAATTTTGGGCAGCAGTAATTTTACGTGTAGTTTAGTTTATTTTTATTTGTTTAGATTTTCCCCCTAAAATTTTATTTTTGTTATGTTTTATTTTATTTTTAATTGTCAAATAGAAAAAGACTACAAATTATGTTAATCAATTTTAAAATAAACTACACTCACTTCTCCTGCGGTTTGGGAGAAATAGTGGTAATCCTACCTTTTTTTATATAATTATATTAATCTCTAATAAAATTTTAATTCATATAATATTTTGGATATTTTTCATCAGCAATTCGTATGAATAAAAAAAAAAATCTCATCTCTTTTTTACTAAAATATATATTAATCTTTTTTTTATTTCATTATCTATCTACTATCATATTAGTTTCAACACTTTGATTTCATTAAAAATATAAAAATTCACTCTTTTTATTATTATTATTTTTAAATCTTATAGGAAGTGATTGTAATTATTCCTAAATTTTACCATTGGTGTCAGGTATATAGCATCGACTAAAGAGGCGAAAGAGCTTTCCAGCTTGAATCATAAGGTCAGCAACATATACAGCCACCTGCAAAAGCAACTGACTCTTTGTTATCAACACATTGGTTAGTCCAACCCAACTTAAACTCAACTCCCTTCTTCATTTGTATTTAGGTAAATTATACTTTAATTTTTTAAATTATCACTTAGTATCACTTTATTCTTTTCAATTAAATTTTTATATATTTTGTCACATTAAACTATTAATTTATATCAATATGAACTTTTCGTTAAGGATCTATTATCTAAATAAATGAAAATTTGACACGTGTCTTGCACATATATAATATCCTAAATATTGTAAAATGTTTAAAATGAATTGAATTTTTTTTTATGGTTGTCATGGTTAAAAAAAGAAAAAAGAAAAAGGAAGGAGATGAAATAGAAAAGAATGTTACTTTAAACATTACACAATATTTGAGATTTAACGTGCAAGTTACACATAAAATTTTCTTTTATCTCCGTAACAGATCCTTAGCATAAGATTCACATTAATACAAATTAATAGTTCAAGTAACAAAATCTAAGATTTTTGTAATTAAGGGGGGTTACTGTGATACTGATTAATAGTTTGAGAAGGTAAAGTTTAATTTACCCATCATAATATACAATTCTTGTTTGGTGTTGTTTATAAAGTTCTTATATATGTATATATATGCAAAAATTAATTAAATAAGTTGAACAAAAATATCTTAATTATTTGAAAGCTGAAAGTGGAGTGTTTTTAACTTCTGTTTTTAATTATTAATTTTAAAACTGTGTTTGAATTTAAGATTTATGTAGATATTTGTGGTGGAAACAAAAAAAAAATGTAAGAGAAATATAAATAAAATATAAGTTAATTTTTTCTCACTTTCCATTTCTCTAATAATTTTTCCTTTTTCTCTGTAACTCCCTACCCAAATCATTTCTTAGATGCACACACCAAATAGACAGACACTAGTAAATGAAATGGAATTGGCATATACAGAGTAGAGTAGTTAATTACCAATATATGTTGGTTTGATACAGAGGAGAAAAAGTATAATGAAGCATTTCAGAAGCTTGAGCTCCTCTTCGAGACAACACACATCGATAACATAAACATCCTCAAGGCTCTGGTTTCCGCCGAGGAAGATCAGTTGCCACTCTTTGATGGTTCTACTAAGAGAAAGGTTTGCTCATATAATGGACGATAAATATGATTATAAAAATAGTCTGTTCAATTTTTTGAATAGGCATCTGTAATTAAATTATATAGTTACAATTATCAGATCAATTTAATTTTTTTTAATGAATGATCTAAACATAAAATTCTAAAAAATTAACAAATCAAATTATTAAAGTAAAGCTCATGGTAAGTCCACAGGCCCAAATTGAACATTTCCCTATTGTAAGTTGTAATTTTACCATAATCTATGATTCACACGGTTTCATGGTCATAAAAAAGAGTGGTTGATCTTTTTGAATGACAAAATGCAGGTAAGCATTGATGTTCTAAGGAACAAGAATGTGTTGCTACTCATTTCAGACTTGGACCTCTCCAATGAAGAGCATTTCATTCTCTGTCAGATACACTTATGTTAAGAGAGCAACCGACAACGTTAGAGAGTCAATACGAGGTTGTTTGGTTCCCTGTCGTGGACAGAACAACCCCTTGGAACGATGAGAAACAACAGAAGTTTGAGGCCAGACAAGCTTCAATATCATGGTACTCGGTGTACCAACCTTTGATGTTTGATCCAGTAGTCATCAAGTACATCAAGGAGGTCTGGCACTTCAACAAAAAGGCTCCGTTGGTGATGTTAGACCCACAAGGCAAAGTTGTGCATCGTAATGCAATCCATGTGTGTTGGATTTGGGGAAACATGGCTTTCCCATTTACTAGCTTGAAGGAGAAAGAACTCTGGAAGGAAACTCGCTGGACGATGGAGTTTTTGGCAGATTCCATTGATCTATCCATCCTTGATTGGGTTTTAACTATTCGGTTAAATTGTATTTTTCATATCCCTATTATCTCAACTCAAACAATTTTAGTCTCCGCACTTCAAGTCCAGTTTTAATTTGATCGTTCCGTCTAAATTTTTATTAATTTTTCTATGTTACGAAATTTACAAGCGTTCCAAAATCATTAATTTTAACCTCTAACATGGACGGAAGAACCAAATTTAATTAGACTTAAAGTGTAAGCATTTTGTTGTTCAATTTAAAATAATAGGAACTAAAGTGAAATTTTAATCAAAGTATAAAGGTTAAGAGTGAAATTTATCCTAACTATCAGGTATTCACAACAATAAGTATTAGACTTGAAAGTGTAGGCATTTTATTCCCCTCAACCACAGTATTATCAACCATTTGTTATTATGAAAGTTTTGACATACCAACATTAGGAATTTGGAAAAACTGACACCATCTAAGGCCTCGTTTGGAAACAGGCTAATTTAGTAACTTTTTGGCTATTTGGCTAAAATATGAGCTAAAAAAAACTAGTATGTTTGGGATGACTTTTTGGCTTTTTACGAAAAGATGTGCAAAAAGTAGAGAAAAAAGAGAATCTTTGACTTTTTGGTATGGGTTGTTGGCTTTTTGACTAATTTAGTAACTTTTTGGCTTTTTGGCTAAAAACTTCGGTTGCCAAACGAGGCCTAAGTATTATCTAGAAAATTTACCTAGAAATGTTCAAAATTTACAATCTAAGGATCATTCCACATCAATTACTTTAAATCTATAAACTAGATTTCAAATTCGGGTAGTAGATAGCATTTTTGTTATAAAAATGTGTTTTTTTTTTTGGTTACTTAGATTGTAGATGACAAATATATTTGCTTGTATGGAGGAGATGACTTAGAATGGATCCGAAGATTTACCAAAACATCACAAGCTGTTGCAGCAACTGCCCACATCCAATTGGAGATTCTGTATGTAGGAAAAAGCAAAGCAAGGGAAACAGTTCAGAAGATTAGCAACACCATTTTGCTCGAAAAACTCAGCCACGTATTGTCAGACCCAACTCTCGTATGGTTCTTTTGGGTGAGGCTAGAAAGCATGTGGCATTCCAAGAGACAACTCAGTACGTCTGTAGAGAACGATCCCATAATGCAAGAGATCATGACAATTCTGAGCTTTGATGGAAATGATCAATCATGGGCAGTGATTAGCCGAGGCACAGCTGAGATGGCTGAAGCCAAGGGTGACACCATGTTGCAAAGCTTAGTCAAGTTTGAAGAATGGAAGGATCATGCTAAAGAGGTTGGTTTTGTGAATGCACTCAATGATAAGCTTTGAGCTTCACACCCCAGAACATTGCAACCATATGATTTTGTCTTGCACCGCTGAGAACATCGATGGTGTCAGTTTTTGCACCATCGATGGTTTTGTGAATGCACTCAATGATAAGCCAAGGGCAAGAGCATCTCCAATGGTAGTAGGCATTTTACCTATCCAAATATTACTATAAAGTATATATTTTATTTTGCCTATCAACTGTTTTATGTTTTTACTCCAACCATGCTCTTTATTTTAGCTATTTATCCAAATACTATTAATTTTATAGAATGCCACGTCAACAACAAAGATGGAGGGAAATGATCCTAATGATTGAATACATTTTGCCTAGCGTTGAAGGCTAGCTACATGTAGCTAGTGAATATGAGTTGAGCCAAAATGCCTAATCATATGCCTAGTGCATTGGAATTGAAAAAAGTGAATCACACTAGGCATTCTAACTAACAAGTATTATATGCCTAGTGCATTGGAGATGCTCTAACAAATATAACTAACCCCCAATCCTTCAACATTAGGATATCCTTGAAAGGGTTGTCTGTGTTGAATGTGGCCGCCCTATGGCGAAGTTCATCGTGTATCGATGTTGTAATTAATGACTAGAGCTATTAAGCAATAAGCTCGTTATATATCCTTTGATTTGAAGAGGCGATTACTATCTACTAGTGCTAGTACTATTACTACCCTTTCCTAAAGAGTTCAGAAGATTAGCAACACCATTTTGCTCGAAAAACTCAGCCACGTATTGTCAGACCCAACTCTCGTATGGTTCTTTTCGGTGAGGCTAGAAAGCATGTGGCATTCCAAGAGACAACTCAGTAAGTCTGTAGAGAACGATCCCATAATGCAGGAGATCATGACAATTCTGAGCTTTGATGGAAATGATCAACCATGGGCAGTGATTAGCCGAGGCACTGTGAGAACCCGAATATAAAAATTAAGTAAATAATTAAATAATAATATTATAATCTCAAATATTTTAGTGGTGAATTCTAAGATGCAAATTAAATATTATTAGAGGATCTTTTAATTAATAATTAATTTTTAAACCTAAAATAAATTTATGGTGAAAGTCTTTAATTTAGAGGTAAGATTTATTATCTAAAAAAAAACAAAATAAAATAAAATAAATAGAGAGGAGGGTGTGACTTGAACTCTTGACCACAAACTTAGGCATAGTTTGGGAAGACTAAATAAGTGCACTTTTTGACTTTTTATGAAATATGGGTTGGGTTTGGGTTGAGTTTGAAGTGATGTGTTAGAAATGTGATGTGACTTAAATAAGATGATGTAACTTAAATAGGATAGTGACTTTTTGACTTTTTGTCTTTTTTCAATCTTCCCAAACTAGGCCTTAATAAATAAGGTTTTACCATTTGAGTTGCATATAACTTATATATATATATATATATATATATATATTTTGTATATTTATCTATTTATTTGAACTATGTGCCCCCACAACTAGTATAAATAAAATAAACACAAATCTTAATTCTTATGATATTGTTTTCCCACAACTTTTTTGAGCAGCCGTGAGAGGTAAAGGGAGGGAGAGAGACGTGTAGGTCATTGGGTGAAAATTGTTGAGTTTTGTGGTGGCCATTGGCAAGGTAAATCCCTTATTATTTTTATTCTTTCACTATCTTTTTCTTCTTCTTGTGAGTTACTGTGTAGTTGATGGATCAAATCGGTGAAGTAGGTGCATGTGTTGGGCATGGCTATGAAATATTTGGCTGATTGGGATAGTGTTTTTTGTACAAAGAATAGTGTAATTCTTAGTCCAAAAATTCTGCGTAGAATCACAAACTTTAAAAATCAAGAAACCATATCAAACGGATAAATTTTAATCTGAAATTTTTACAGTAGATTAATTACATATTGAATTGCATATCTGAATTTTTTTCATAATTTTTGGGAGTCAAAATCCATATAAACTGATGTGTTCAAATCTGTCCAGAAAACTAGTTTTTAACAGTAAATTTGAGAGTGTTGTTCTCTTTGGATATAAATCCAAAAATTATCAAATCAGCGTCATTAGAACCGGTTACGAGTCTAGTTTTTTGAATTTTTGACCTTGCGTTGATTGCTCGTGTATACTAAGAGAACCATCAATTTCTTAAAGTGCTGCAGAAAATAACCTGTTTAGATATAATTAATTGTAGATAATTATTTTAATAAGCAAATCAAGTGAAACCATTTGGGTTTGAAACTTAGGATATATTAGTTGATATCTTGAGGGTTTTAGAATTTTTCGAACAACGTGGAGTGGGTTTTTAATTTTCAAAGTTAGCGAATAGACTGGAAAAACTACTTTAAAATTCTGTTTTATCTTAAAGTTACTTTTAATTAGGTTTCAATTTGAACCCATGTCTTGGGTGATTTTAGACCTTGAAGAACATGAACTTAGGTAATATTTAAGAGTAACGGTGAGTTTGGTTGAGCCGTGTTAGTGCGCTTTAGTTTGGGGTTACTTAGTTTATTATTCTTTTTAATATGTTTGAATTAGTAGTGACGTGTAGTTTTAATACTTTGTTCAGCGCAGTAGTTGAACTTTCATACTCTATTCAAGGATTATATTATTTCGTTTTCAGGTGAGTAGTTTCATGCTGCATATTTTTATAAATGTTCCCCTACCCTGAACTGTTGGAAAATTAAATTGTTGTTTCATGACTAAACTGTTTTGGTAAATTATTATATTATCAATGGAATCAAATTATTTCTGAAACATGTGTGAACTTGGCATACTGTAAACTATTTATTTTGGTCTTATGTTTATAATGATGAACTACCATGTTTTGCGAAACTGATGTGTATTGATTATTGGGACCAACTATGTAGTTAGTCCAGAGAAATTATTACACTATGTGTGGTGACTCTGGCCACTAGGGAACAGATCCGGGTTGAGCTGTGACAACTCTAGTGCTCAACGATTGTAAGGAAAAGACCTAGATTAAGCTAGGTGACCTTCAATCGGATCGTCTTTGAGAAAATGCCCAGGTTGCCACCCTGAGGATGACTCTTAATTCGGTATTGGATCCAACGGGGTTCATAGCCTTGAAAACTGTGTGGCATATTATTTGTTATTTTCTTGGTATCCAAAAAATTATTGGTGTTCATGTTGTAATCTGTTTTAAATGGAAAATGTCGTTATCATGTTCTTGACAGACATGAGTATTTTAACTGTTGAACTGTGGAACCTTGTTTTTGAAACAGACGAATCAGCTTGCTTGGTTTCATTTTTCAAAAAACACTTTTCAGAAAATTCTACTTTCTTATTTTCTATGTTTTTTTGTTTTTACTGAATTTTTTTAATATTTTAAGTAATTTTTTTACTTTTTAGACACACCTAACATAAATATACCTAAAAAGTAAAAAAAATTATAAAAAAATCTTTTACAAATTCATTACATACCAAAAATACAAAAAAAAAAATACAAGAATTCAGTACATTTTTTGTATTTTTATGTATTTATTAATTTTTTAAAATATTTTTACACAAATTTTTTACTTTTTAGATACATCTAAGTAAGGTACATCTAAAAAAGTAAAAACAAATGTTTAAAATTTTAAAAATATTCACTAAAAACAAAAAAATACGAAAATCAAAAAACTCAGTTTTCAAAAAACTTAATCTAGAAAATTCAAACTAAACACACTATTGTCTTTACCAAACTGTATGTCAATCTAGTTTCTGTGATATATATCTTATTTTGAAATTGAACCCTGTTTTCAAAACTGTATTTACTATCCATGTTGCTACTCACTGAGCTATCAGCTGACTTAATTGTTTATCATTTCCAGGTGTTAGAAGGACTTAGAGTGGACTCATGGCATAGCGGGGACTCAATTGCATAAACCTCTAGGATATTCATTTATTTGTTTTTTATTTTTATTGGGGTTCATTTAAGATTATTTTAATATGTGGGTTGTTTATATCCCATAAGTTTGGATTAGGGATGTAATCGGTTTGGTACGGTCGGTATTTAGGTAAAAAATTACACCGAACCGATAATATCGGTTTTATTATTTTGAACACAGATACAGACTGTTTCTGCCATCAAACTGCACCAAACCAAACCGATTGAAACGGTTCGGTTTGGTACGATTTAATCGGTTTAAAATTTTTCAAACTTGAGCCACTTTTAAATATAATCATTAATCTATATAAAAACATTAAATTAGTTATTTGTCTATCATTTCAAATATATCTAATCCATCCATTTAATACATACTTTTTAATTCCTAAATTAACCAAAAACAAAAAAACAAAAAAATTTAAAAATACTAAGGTTTCAAGAATAATGAGTTAGAGTTAAGATTATATATAATAAGAATTTACAAACTTAGATTATAAAGATGATAAGGTTAATTAATTAAGGTTAATAATTTATTATACTTATTATTATCATTATATAATTAGATTATATATATATATATTATAAATACAATATATGTTGAAGAGGTCGGTTTCGGTTTAGATCGGTGCATAAGGTGCTTAAACTGATACCGAACTGAAAACCGAAAAAATTCAAATTTCAAAACCGCACAGACCGATTCTTGTTAAAAAACAGACCAAATATAGCCGGTTTGGTCTGGTTCAATCGGTTTGGTCAGTTTTTTCGATTTTTCTTACATCCCTAGTTTGGATGGTGTTATTTATGGTTGGTTTTACCGTTTATGATTGTGACATGTCACTGGATTGAGTTTTGGTTATTTATTATTGGACTATTGTTTAATTGTTCAATGTGATATTAGATTCGTGTTTAGGCTTACGTGTGCCTTGGGCTAAGGCCCTGTGGACCACGGCCGGTCATACCCGGGCTTGGAGTGTGACAGGCACAGCTGAGATGGCTGAAGCCAAGGGTGACACCATGTTGCAAAGCTTAGTCAAGTTTGAAGAATGGAAGGATCATGCTAAATAGGTTGGTTTTGTGAATGCACTCAATGATAAGCTTTATGAGCTT